ATAATCAAAACCGGATTGCTGGTTATCACCAACTATGTGGTCGTTAAATCAACATCTTCGGGGCGTCGGACTGCAAAAACTTCTCAAGAATTTTGTCGGACAATAAGATACATTCATTTCAAATCTTATTACCAAACCCTACCAGAAAAATCAGCTTGCTGGTTGTCACCAACCATAATGTCAACCAAATCGACATATTTGGGGTGGCGGACAAACTCAAAATACCCAACATTTTTGTCGGACAAATTTTTTGGGGGGTTTAAAAAGAATATATCTTTCATTTAAACTGAAAAAAAAAGTGCTGGTCATAGCATTCCAAGTCTATGCCAGATTGATATGTTTTCCTGAAAATCACGGGAAAACATACAACTGTTGAATTTTCCTAGTAGTCAAATCGTTTCGTCAAACTTAAGCTGCACGCAAAGTTACAGCTTACTGGTAATCATTTTTTTCTTTGTACGTGGGCCCGTGGACTATTAGGTTGTATTTAATGTAGCTACGTGTAGGTACTTCTGGGTACAGTCCGTACAATATTTGTCAAAATAGGATGCCAAGAAAAAAATAAGTCAATAAAGTTAAAATTGTTCGCCAATGTCTTTCTATCTCCGGTGTCGTATGCGTATGTAATTTCAAGAAAGTGACGTAGGTGTCTTCTTGCAATTCTATCTCAACAAATATCGTACGGACTGTACCTATATTTGTTGACAGAAACATGAAATAAAGTATCTTGTCAAAGTTTATCAGTTTGCAGTTTTTAAATATTTTAATACGAGCTACTTATTATACAAGGTGTTTCACGAAGACATCCCGTAAATACAGGGAGTCATAGTACGACAAAAAATAAGAATTTCTTGTCTTATGAATTATATGTCTATCTCCTCTTGTTTTCGAGATACAGAGCGTCAAAATAAATTTTTTTAAATAAAATTTTTACGAAAATTTCCAAATAGTGCGAAATATTTTTATGAAATTTGGGGTTTTGAAGGACCCCAAATACGCTGGTCTAATTATTTTTTGAATATTATTTCGTAGAGAGCGCTAGTTATGCTACATTTCTATTGCATTTTAAATTCTAATTTTTTTAAGGTTACCTTTTTACCATTCGGGCTCCAATTTATAAAGTAAAATTTTATTTTAGTTTCTAAAAATAATGTACTCTTGTTGGGACTTCCTAATGTGGCCGGGTTTCGAAAAGACGCTTTTAATTAAATTCTTACAATATTACGGTTTATAAAATAAGTGACTTTTCTAAAAGTAGGCTTATGTTAAAACTTATTGATGGATGTCTCATAAACAACGCATACATTCTTAGTAAAATTTTAAACTCTAATTAACTTTATATCAAAATTTTAGTGACTAATTAGTCATTACTAACTACAGACACTAACAATCACTAAAACTAGAGTTTAAAATATTACTAAGAATATATGCATTATTTATAAGACATCCATCAATAAGTTTTGATATAAACCTACTTTGAGAAAAGTCACTTATTTTATATACAGTAATATTGTAAGTGTTTAATTAAAAGCCTTTTTTCTCGAAAACCGTCCACATCAGGAAGTTCTAAAAAGAGTAGGTACATTATTTTTAGAAAATAAAGTTGTTCATTAGAAATTGGAGCTCGAATGGAAAAACCTTAAAAAAATTAGAACTTAAAATTCAATAGGAATGTACCATAACTAGCGCCCCCTATGAAATATTTAAAAAAGTAGTTAGACAAGCTTATTTGGCATCTTTAGAAATCCCGGAATACCAAATTTCATAAGAGTATTTCGCACCGTTTGGAAATTTTGTAAAAAAAATTATTTTGTCGCTCTGTTATCTCGAAAACAAGAGGAGGTAGACTTATAGTTCTTAAGACAAAAAATTCTTAAATTTTGTTGTACTGTCACGCCCTGTATTTACGGGAGGTCTTTCTGAAACACCCTGTATAAGCTTATAAAGTTTCTAGAGTCTGTCACTTGATCAATTTAGAAACTCTATGATAATAATAAGTAAGTTTTTTGTTTATTATTTATGAGCTAATACTATCATCATAAAAGAATTTGATTTTGTTACAAAAACTTTTTCGAATTTCTGTTTTTTTTGGTAAAACTACGAGTGTGTATAACACTTACTTCTTTGTTTATACTTAATTAAATTTGATTTAAGTATAAAAGATACGTGTAATTTTACCTTTTAGAAAACAAAACGAGAAAGAAATCTCGAATGATATTTGACACATATAGTGTGTAAGTGATGGAACAAAATTCAATTTTTTTTTCCAGTTCAAATTTAAAAAAGTTGCTGAAACAGGTCAATTAGTAAATAGAAATTGTCACTTTTCTGCAATACTTTCTATTTGTTTGAGCCATGTTTGACAAACCTATAACATTACCGAATTTTTTTTTAATAGGACGCTCTATATTTTATAGTATAAATAGATAGCCCTTGTACAGACGAATCCAGCGATATAAGGTTATACTTACTTTTTTGTCACAGTTGTTCTTTATGTTGTACTGACGACTATTTCAAACAATCATAGTCTCTTCTGTAATTTAAAAAACGTACCTACTTTTTATTTTAATCTTTTTCTACTTAACATTAAAGCTTTTTTTTTCTCAAAAAAAAACATCGATAAACACATAAAATTCACCAGAGTACCTTAGGTATAACGTGAATCGTTTTAATTTCAATTCATTCGTTGTTAAATTATTTTGAAATATGCTTGCCCGTTTAAGCGAAAAACAGAATTGAAATTTTAATTATGATTGGATGCGAAGATAAAATCCGTAGTCAGCAGTAGGTATGTGACTTATTTCACCATAAGTATCCATACGAAAATTAGTCGAGCTACAAGAAGTATCCAAAAAGTTTGAAGTAACCGGAAGTATAAAAGATTTGCCTGGATCAGAAAAGCAAAGAACGGTAAGCGAAAATGACAGTCAAAATGTGATGCTCGCCGTTACTGAAAATCCTCACTCATCCATTAGATCTATCTCAGCCAACTTCAACTTGTCGAAGCCCTCAGTACACAGAACTCTGGTGCCTCAAAAGTGGCATCCTTACAAAGTTAACGTCTTACAAGAACTATGGGCAGATGACACATACAGAAGATTACAGTTTTGCGAGGAAATTAGAAATTTATTTGAAAGACAACCCAATTCAAAATATAACATAATTTTCACTGACGAAGCAACTTTTTGCTTAAACGGGACAATGAACAGGCAAAATACTAGGTTTTGGAGCCCAGAAAATCCGCATTGGATGCAAGAGAAACATACACAACGGCCGGAAAAAGTGAATGTTTGGGCTGGAATGATAGGAAGTCGCATAATGGGATCTTATTTCTTTGAGGGCAATTTGACAGACGACATTTATTTGGATTTTTTTGCGTTTTCAGCTGATTCCAGCCCTGGAATTAATTTTTCTTGACCCTAATGAGCACGATATGCCTGCTGATGACTGGTTCCAACAAGATGGTGCCCCCTCCACATTTTCTCCTCGATATAAGAAATTACCTTGATGAAGTTTTCCCAAATCGATGGATAGGCAGAAGGGGGCGGCTTGAATGGCCACCATGCTCCCCTGAATTAACCCCACTAGATTTATTTTGTGGGGTTATATAAAAAACAAAGTATATGTGAACAGACCAGACACTATCGAAGGATTGAAAAATCGTATCAGAGAAGAAGTTTGAAACAAAACACCAAATGTTATTACAAATATAATTGATAACTTAAAAAATATAGTGTCCTATTAAAAAAAAATGTCGATAATGTTATAGATCTGTCAAACATGACTTTAAAAAATAAAAAATATTGCAGAGAAGTGAAATTTCTATTTACTATTGAGCTGTTTCAACGATTTTCTTAAATTTCGACTGGAAAAAAAATTAATTTTGTTCCATCATTTTGGAACACACTGTATATTTCACGAACTGTCATATTTAGTTTAATATTTCAAAATTTAACTTAGTTACCTAGATGTAGGTGCTTATTTATCAATAATATGCTTTCACCACCAACAGAACCGAAGTGGTTCTATATTTCCGATATTTTTTCCATATATTTTTCCATATACAGGATGTTTCATAACTCTCCCGACACAGAGCAGGCACTGGTAGAGGATCTTTAAATATGCCGATTATGTAAAATTTTTTTCTGGGACGTACCGTTGAAGAGATATTGACCTCTGAAGATGAGTGTTAAACTTTGAAAAACAATAAACAATTTTTAAAATTAAATTTCCTGTAATACTGGTAAAACTATTTAATAATTGGCATACTGATAAAAAAATCGATTTCATTTTAAGGACGCCCTACTCCTAGTCCGGTTCTTATTGGCCCTCCAACAAGTTAATTTTTTTACCAATTAAAGAAAACAATAAACGCAAATCATGTACCAAATTTATTTGCTCTATGTTAAGGCATTCCTGAAATATTATTGTATTTCAAAATTTGACACTCATTTCCAGAGGCCAATATCTCCAACGGTACACCGCAGAAAAAAAATGTTGCATAACAAATCGGCATATTTTAAGATCCTCTACACATGCCTGTTCTGTGTCGGTAGAGTTATGAAACACCCTGTATATTTTGTGAGGCATATCGTTGTCTTCTTCAGAAGAAACTCTGAATCTGCCAGCAAACCAAGTACCACAAACACATGTTCTAAGGCTCTTATCATTTAGAGCGGTTTATCATCAAATTCTTTTAGTTATACCAGACTTTTTAAAAACTTATGGATACTCGTATCTCACGTTTCTGTAACAGCAAAGCATCCTATTTTAATTCAATACACTAGTTCCTTATTATTTAATTTGCTTCCACCGGCTTTACCAATTTTTTGTTTCTAACCCAATTCAAAGAATGGGTGCATTATTATTTCTGCTAAGATTTCTAACCGAGCACGTTTTGTTTCCTTTGATCAGATTATCCAGCTTTACTTAAGTTAAAAACCCCCACGTGGACGCAAGAACAGCTGAAGGAGGCGATAGACGCGGTGGTCACGCAAAAAATGCGCTTTACCCAAGCATCTGCGAGGTACGGCATACCTAAGGGAACGCTGTACGATAACATATTAGGGAAATCGAAACGCATGGCCGTTCTGGAGGAAGCAGGTTTGACGCTGGCGGAAGAGGCGGCAGTTTTGGAATTCTGTTGTGACGTCTCCGTCTCTCCCTACAACAGGCGCACGAAAAAATCGCTTAACGCCGTGCTCAACTTTGTGGAGAAGCTGAGACGCACTCGGGACCCAGAATTCATGTTCACTGGACTGTCTGGCTTCCGCTGGTGGTGGGCCTTTTGTAAGAAGCACAGTATAGTGTCTCTTTATTACGAGAATAACGGTATTCCAAACTCAAATGTTAGTCCGCAGAAATACTGAATTAGTTTGTAAGTACGTAGCTTTTAAGGGGTATTTGTTTTCTTCAGAAGTATTTGTTTAAACATTAATTTAATAACTGCAAGTACGCAGAAATTTGTGCAATTAAAAATTTTTGTTAAGGCAACACGGCCCTTATTATAAGATATTTTAAGTACTATGTGAAAATACATATTGTTTTTGGAGTGCATTTTAAAAACTTTGATGATATTAATTTAGTTTTTCACATCACATACGAACATATGAATATTCCGAATGATATTCCAAACTCTAGCCTCTAATTCAACAAGCTACACATATATTTTAAGTTCTATACCAAAGTATGTGTTGTTTTGGGAAATATACAAACTTTTAAGATATTAGGTCAATTTTTCACATCACATCTCGAGAAATGAAAATATTGGATCAAATTACAAAAATTGTGTAGATCAAGAAGCTACACAGATACTTCAACTCCTATCTCAAAGTAGGTGCTGCTTTTGGAATTGATTATTCAAACTTTGAAGATATTAGGTCAGTTTTTCAGATCACATCTCTAGAAATACAAAATTCGAATTACTTAAATTCCTAAAATTAGGCTGTAGATTAAGAAACTACATAGATACATCTACTCCTATATCAAAATAGGTACTGTTTTTGAAAATAATTTTCCAAACTTTGAAGATGTTAGGTCAATTTTTACATTATGTCTCGAGAAATTAACATTTCAAATAAGATATAAAAAATTTAGGTTGTAGATCAAAAACCTACACAGACACTACATCTCTATCAAAGTAGATGTTTTTGAAACTGATTTTCCAAACTTGTAAGATATTGTCTCAGATTTTCAAACTTTATCTCAAGAAATAAACATTTTTAATAAAACTGCTTCAAGAAGCTACACAGATATCTCCTCTATCAAAGTAGGTGTTATTTTTTAAACTGATTTTCCAAACTTTTAAGATATTGTGTCAGATTTTCATATATCTCAAGAATAAAAAATTTTGAATTAAATTCCTTACATTAGGCCGTAGATCAAGAAGCTACACATATACTATATCTCCTCTATCAAAGTAGGTGTTGGTTTTTATACTGATTTTCCAAACTTTTAAGATATTGTCTCAGATTTTTATAGCTCATCTCAAGAAATAAAAATTTTGAATTAAATTCCTTACATTAGACTGTAAATCAAGAAACTACACAGATACTTCTACGGCTAGGTCAAACTAAGTGTTGTTTTTGGAAATGATTTTCCAAACTTTAACTATTATGTCAGTTTTTTGGATCGCATATTTCCAAAAATAAATTAATTAAAAAAAATAGTCTGTAAATCAGCTCTTATCTACCCTAGGGTTGATTGTAGAGGTGGATCTTGTTACCAAATACTGTTGCATGCATTATTCTGGATATAAAAACGTGAAAGATATTGCAAGTATTGAGAACACCTTTTTTAAGAAAGGCATATTATTCGATATTTTTCATTTCAACTTTATTTTTCTGCAAAACATTTACAAAAAATGTGATATGGTTAATAAAGTAACACATGGAAATTTCAAGAGAAAATCAAATATAATTAAACTTATTACTTTCTAGAAGATTTCTGGTATTGACTTTCTGTTTAATTTTATTATTTCTGAAAATCAGATGAAGTTAGCTAAGATGTATGACAAGAAATACTAACTAATAGAACTCAAATATTGAACTGTTTTCAGTATTTTTAATCGTTTGATATATTTAGATGCCTTTCAAATTTATTTTAAATATCTCTATTGGCCAAGAAGTATTTGCCAGGATTAAAGAAAAATAATTATGGTATGTCTATCTCTGATATACATATTTACATAACCTCTTTGCAACCATTAAGAACAGAGAGCTATATCTATTGTTAGATTGTCTTCTTTCTCTGGTTAAAAAAGGATACGTCTTCCAAAAGAATATATACAAATTTTAATGTATAAAAAAATGGAGAATTGTTTGTTAAGATTGTAAATTGTAATTAATTTTTCTTATTTTGGTAGTTTCCAAGAATACGTTTCCTGTCTTTTTAAATGTGAATCGCACTTGGGCCATAAATTAAATGATTTATTTGATTTTTTTAAATAAATAACGTAAGTTAAATTTAGTGCGTCCGTACAATAATTTATGGCCGCAATTGAAAATGAATAATTACTGTTTTCATTAAATTATATCGTTACAATGTTCACAGGAAAGATGTCTTCGTTATTTTCATAAATATTATTATATTACTGGTCCGAAACGGTTGAAGTTTCATTCTCGTCCGTTATTACAACTCAATTTATATTGTTAAAACTCATTCATTTCATGTATTCAAGTAGTTAAGGTTATTGCAAAATGTAATGGCACTAATTTATTTAATAAAGTAATGACATCAGTCGACATTTTAACATCAAATGAAGTAGGTAGGTTTCGTGCCTACTGGAATTGTGATTATACAAAACATTAACTTTTTTAAGAAAACAAATACGCCTTTAACCGTTAATGATATTATTTTTTAAAGTTGCCTTACGTAGGTTAGTGTGAAAATAATGTGCCTTATGTTACATGCGATATTTTCTACTCAATATGTGTTTTAAGAGTCTATTAATTTTACAGAACCAAATTAAGTGTATAGAAACATGTTTTATATTTCGAGAAATATATTTGTGTTTTGTTTGGCTGTATAGAAATATATGTATAGAAAGTTTAATTACGTTTATTAGAACCATTTCTAATTTTATTTGACATTCCAAATTTCGAACGTGCTTCCTCCCTGTCTAGATTTACGTTAGGTTTGATCAATTATTTGTGTATATTGCATTCCTTGTTACTTGTTAGTTTAATATTAGTAATCGTGTGTGCTCGACTGAGCCTCGTAATAATTATTATACGGTCCTCGTTATTGTTCCATGCATGTTACTTCACTCGGCAACATGCGATATTATTTTTATTTTTAATTTTTATGTCCTAAGCAGTTATTAGTATAATAAATTATTTTTACGTTATGAACGGATATATTGTATATACCCAGCCATTGTACAATACATGCGTAAAAACGCACGAATTTTTTATATGTTGATATAAATTGTAATGGAAAGACTCGTGTCAAAATTAAGTAGATGTTTGTTATTTTATTGGGCATATTTTCAGTCTTGCTTGAATTAATTTTCTCAAAAATATGATCCTGGTTAAAATTATCGATGCTGAGAAGCTTTGGTGGCATAAAGATCATAAAAAATTGTTTAAAACTTCTCAAATCTTTCATTGTTATGTGACGCTGTCTTCAAAGTTCAAAATTTGATGTCATTACTACATTTGTAAATTTGAGATGATAATTATGGTACTTCAAAGTATTTTCTATATATCGATGGATATAAATTTAATTTCGTGTTCTTGAAAAAACGTCTTCAACTAGTACGGCCTTTCAATCATTCTCAATGCTTTCAAACGTTTCTAAATTGTTGTGTGATCAATTCCTAATGATTTTGCAAGTTCAGCTAGCGTTAGTCATGAGCCTTCATGAAGTAATGCCTCCAATTCTTCATCTTCAAACTGTTTCGGTGCTTCTCATGCTTCTTTGGCTTCAACACCAGTAATTAATTTTGAATCGTCTAAACTAATCCCTGCATGTTGTTTGCGACAGAGCATGGTCGCCGTAAGTCCTAACGAGAATTTTGTGTGCTTCAGCTACAATTTGTTTTGCATAAAGTAATACAGTAAAATTCCCTGTAACTATTCTTTTTTCAGCACGAAATTGGACATGTTTAACGTTATGAAAAAAGGAAGTACTTTACACTTCGGCGAATTACACTGAATTTCAAGCTTGCTTATCGGTAGGTTACCATCTCAAATTATACGCTTGCGGTTCTAGTAACGCCATCTGTTGGAAACAGCGAGAACTTAGTAAACATCCCATTATTTCCAAAATACAACCAACATAACTTTTAATCAATCATAAGAAACTTTTCTTTATGGTTAGAAATAGTGAATTATTTTGGCAAATTGTTATTATAATTTTCATGGGAAGATGTTTTTCTGTTATATATTAACAAATTTATGAAAAAATGTCTTATCTTCATTAGCTTCTGTTATGTTAGGCATATTCATAATTCACATCTTCCTAACACAAATAGTTAATACGGAATATGCACAATTAAATAATAAACTTAGTTTATTCCAAGCCACGGTTTTTCCATATTTCAATTTTTTGTTGTTAGGCGAATGTTCTTCGTTTAGAGTACATCTTCATTTGAACTATTATGCATTTTATTATAAGTGAAACTGTAAAGTTAGGTTTAATTTGTATCATATCTCATTATTCGGATGTAAATTAGTTTTCTAGTTATTTTTTTTTTTTACCAACGTGACTAATAGCAATAATTGAATACTGTCTGAAAGAGTAAGTAAGTTTCGTGTACTGATGCTGCAGTAATAATTAATGTTAAATAGTAGTTTTTAAGACGTCACTTTTTGTTTCTTTTATTATTAACGGAACTGATATCTTTAATTGCAATTGTATTTCGTTTGTAAGGACTTTTGCGTTGTTATAAAAGTTACTTAATAAAGAATTATTAACTTTAATTATGACTCTTTATTTAGTTCAGTCCAATTAGAATGAATGATTCACTTTTAACTGATTAATTAATAAAAAAATATATTTCTGGCATGTCTTATTTAGGAGCGTATATAATAATTAATGGCACTGTTATTATTTGTGGGCGTGGAATAATAATATCATTTAAGTTTGAGTAAGTTGTGAATAGTTCGTCAGGTGCTAAAAAAATTCAACACGTACAGAATAAATTGAAGGATACTAAAATTCGAATATGTAATTTTTTTAACTATTTTTTAAAAACTTGATAGTTTTTGCTTAAAAAATAATGCCTAAAACTGTGACACCGTATGTAAGTAGTATAGTTTCATTGCATCTATCAGTTGTAGTTTATATTCAAAAAATAATACTTGAAATGTTGTTTTCCTTTTATATCCGAGTTCAAAAATTGTAGGCAGTGGCTCATTCGGCGTGT